TGTTTTGGGGGACAATTGAATTGATGTTTTATCACCCTTTTGCCCACCCCTCCTAGTTTAAATACATCCTAGCAAAACCTCTGAACTGCTCACTGAGAACATTTGTTCCCTTTTGAGAAAGATGCAAATCATCTTTTTTGTACAGCTTATTTCCATTCCAAACAGAGCTACCATGAGAAATAAAGCCAAATCCTTGCTCCCGACACCATTCACCAAGCCACAAATTAAAGTCCCTAATACGCATCCGCCTGTCGTTCTGAGTGTTATGCACAGGCAGAACTTCAGAGAATGACAGTGTGGAAACAACCTGCCGTATATCATTGGCAAAAACACTAAAAACTTCCTTAACCTCTGAAACCTCATTGCAAGCCAAGTCATTTGTCCCTAGATGGACAAGTACATCCAATTCCCCTTACTGCTTTGCTTGCTTAACAATATTACAGATACGTCTCCTGTCTCTGTGAGCAGTAGCTCCAGGAAGACACCTCACAAGACCACCATTGTCCATCTCCACTTTGTGAATAAACATGCTTCAGCAGAAAATTGGTATTAGCACAAGAGAAATTAAGTAAGATGTAACAAACAGAAAGCATTGCATAACTATTCAAGCAATAGCCATGTTGTAGGTAAATACAAAAAAGGAAATGGAGAAGCGCTAAATAACAAAATTCAGAGGCAACACCTCTAGAATAGGGAAATTCTCTCCAAAACTAAAGCAAAAGAAAAAGAGTAAAGAAAGGAAGGGTGCGCCAAGGATGAGTTGGGTATGGTATATTACAATGGAAAACTGAAAAAATACACTTAAGGGTAATGCAGTTTAAAACACTTAAATCAATAAAACAGGTACCCAAAGGGGAATAAACAGCAGTCCCAAAATATTACTCACATATTCCTGAGGAGGTAGCACTGCTCAATTGATACAGCGTAGGTGGTATAATTCCCACCTGGGATTCTTTGTGAGATCCTCACTGGAGAAAAAAACCAAACAAAAAAACCCCAAAAAAACAGAATGCCAGGAGTAGAAAGTAATAAAAATAAATAAAAGAATGTTTATGGCACAAAGTATAGTAAAATAGCCAATAGACCTTTATTATAAATAATAAAACAAGTAAAAACAATCCACAACGTGTTTCTTCCAAGCAGGGCTTTATCAAGTGGTTATCAAACAAATACACCTCAGCCCCTCCCAATAATCTAGCCACTCTGTCAGCCACATGCCAAACATGAGCATGCATGAGACAGCAAACTGTCCAGTTGAGATGATAAGAGTGGCATATTACCCTATCTACCCTCTTAATAATAGCATCCCCTACCAGCACAACCTGTTTAGCCTTTCTTTCATTCTCATAATATGGTTCTTAAAGACATAACGACAGCCACTAACATCCTGCTTAATAGATTTTTAGAGCTCAATTAAGCCATACATTTGTACAAAGCATGGCTTGATTGAAATAGCATGACTCAGTTGAGATATTATATTTAAAGTATCCTTAAATAACATTTTGTATTGATGGTCATAGAATGCCATTTGTACTTAATTGGTTAATAACCTTGATCGTTTAGATTGTCTCCAATAGTGTGTGGGTAGCTGGACTAAGCTGTTGACATGCATGTTATCAACCTAGGCCTGTTAACCTAATTGTTCCATATTTTGTTAAAGTTGTCTATCAAGTGCGTTTGTCAGGATTGCTTATTATTTTCTACTTATACTGAGTTGCATTAGGATTAATGTTCATAGGTTATTGTTTATAATATTTTTACTATAGCGGACTGTATTGGGCTGTCTCTAAATATTCTTGTTCCAATGTTAATTTCGTCTCATTTCCTTTTGAATGCAATATACTGTATGACGCATTCGTCTGGTTGTTCGGTAAAATAGCTCCGTTCGACAAAATAGCTCTGTTCGACATACGAACAAACTACCGAACAACCAGACCACCCCAGAGAGAAGTGTGCCTGTAGTTTACCTCCCTCATCGGTATTAACACCAGCATAATTGGCCCGCCGTTCGGTAGAAAGAATCCCACGAACAAAGGGATTCATACGAACCCAAACACAGACTATTCAGCCCGGTATTTCTATGTATTTTACCCCACGAACAGAGACCAACCACAAGGCCAAAATGTATGGAACTGATTTCCGCTGCTGCCTCGTGTGCGGTCGGTCGAACGAACAACCCCATGTAACTCCCGAACCCCTGGTCCGATCTGGGTGATTTTTTAGTATGTTGCTCACCTAAGTATGTACTGAATAATTGGATTATCTGTCAGGCTGAGGGAAGTAGATGTGTGGGTTGTAACTTGTGTGTGATTGGTCACTGTATAATTTTCTGTGGGTGTCTCCCTTGCATGGGAGAGATGCATAAAAAGGATATGTGGAATAAAACATCAGTTCTGCTCCTGATACTGTGTGTCGTCCAGTTATTGGAAAAGGTGATGGGATATTCCTGGATTATTTTCTTTACTATTGATGCTGTTTATCCTGGGTTTACTTCTTGTTCCTACTTTTGGAATACCAGCAGAGAAGTCTATGGGAAACTAGTGCTCCAATACATTTACCATTTCATATAGAGCAGTAAGATTGATTGGGAATAAAGAGCAGCCCTATAAAAAAAAGACCTGCCCTGTATTGTTAGGCTTATTTACTAACGTGAGAATTCAAACTGCATTCAACAAATTTCAATTTTAAGATCAGAGAAGCCAAACTTGAACTCATAAATGACCAATAGAATTTTTACTGTGAAGTTTTTTTTTAACTTTTTGACTTAAATTTGATATTCACCTCAAATCCACTTTAAATTCTCACTTTAGTAAATAACCTTGTTGGCAAAGTATGCATGGCATCTCTTTCTTAAGTAATATTCTTTTCAAATTGTTAGAATAGCATTTGGAGGTTTATTTCTCTAAAAGTGCTATGGTATTCCTCTGAACACCTGTGGTTGAGTCCCCAGGGAAAGTGCGCAGCTTAGCGGACAAAGGCACATGAATGAGTGTGGGATGGATGATGCATGATTGGCTATATGCTACATGTGGGAGTGTGAGATGTGAGGAAGTGGGTGGTGACAGATCAGACTGACCTCAGTGCCACTTAGAAGCCGGGCCAGCAACAAGTTTCTCTGTCTCCTCTTGTTGCTGGGTTTGCTGGATTTTCTGCCTGGGGGCCCTGGATGCCTGATCCTGGTTGCTACAGCAATCCTGTCTGCCCTCAGGGCTGGAACTGGTGCTGCTGCTACAGACGGTGGCCTCCTCCTTCCCCAGCAGACTGGAGGTGAGGTTCCCCTCTCCAGCAGTCTGGCTCCCCCTGTGTCTCCCTCTATGGGCCCTGCCTGTGTCTCCCTCCGTGGATCATCTGACCCCAGCTCTCCTCCTCGGGCCCGGTACAG